AATTTCTAGTTACCTCTTATTGGTGGTATTAAAATCTAGAATGAAAGGAGCTTTTTAATCATGATTAATGTCAACCTGAGAATCATGTCATGTCTAGATATTTGATCCGTAACAAAAAAAACAAGGCGTAAAATTTTATATCATGAAGGCTTAAATAAAAATTTTTATTGTGTAAATCCTTTAAATGGATAAATTAAACTTAAAATCAATGGATAATCAAATCAATTAATTTCGTTTGGATTGTGTAGCAAAAAGATTTTTTGCGCAAGACCCTTTGTAACGTAACAAATAACTTTTTTTTTTTTTCACAAACGGAAAAATATTAATTAAAAAGACATTAAAAAGAGAAATTGCCAACCTACAACCACAAAATTTTTACAAGTTAAAATGTTTTGTTACACGGTCGTTCACTTGATTTAGCTTGACTATTGAAATACCGAATATAGTATAGTGAGACTAACATCATACGAATCAAAGGTTTGAAAACGCACTTCAAAAAATCCAAGAATTACCAAATAATGCATAACTGGAATTTTCAACAAATTCTTTTTGGAAGAACCATTTATGCTTGTTAAAACAAGTTCGTTTATCATTCTTTATTTGGTAATAAGGTTAAAAATAATATTAAATGTTTTTGTGTTTTGGTAAATTAATCACTTCACTTTATACAAATTAAAAAATCAAAATCCACACGAATTTTACATACAGATAATTAAAAACAGGGTTTGTTTACTATGACTGAAAACTCGTATTTGGGGGCTTCTGCGCTAAAAATAGACAATTCACACGTATAAATAAAGGATGGTTTATTTTTTTTTTTTTCTCCTTGGTTTTAATTCAATCAAAACCCAATAAACTTCAAACATTCCTTTAATGTCGAAACAAACATCACTCAAATCATGAATCCTTGATAACGACAAAAAAGAATTTTTTGCCCCTTCCATTCTTTTTATTTTTTTTTTTTCTCTTAATTTTTGTAAACGAGCATATTGATATAGACGAATTCAAATGTGTTATCTTCAAAGGAAGATTCATCATCCTTCACTGAATATAATAAGGTGATGAAAAACGAATTCAATCGATAAACAATTCTAATTTTTTTTTTATGAATGTAAGTATTTTTTTTAAAAATAAAAAAATTAAGGTTTCTTTGCTAAATCTCATCATTACAAAAAAAAATTTTTTTTTTCTTTAGATTGATGTACTTTATAATTAAGTCTACAACCAAAACTCAGTTTTAAAATTTTTTTTTTATGAACCAACAGTTATGACTTGAAATTAAAACAACAATTGATATCAAACAATTATGAATATAAATTATGTCGAAATATTTTAAAATCGCGCGCTTTTTTATTATTTTTATTTTATTTTATTTTTTTTTTAAAAAAAAAAATTTATCGGTTAAAATGTTATTTATATAAAATTACTCCAATTTTTTTTTTTTATTTACTTTTCCTTTTTTTTTTTTTTTCTTAAAAAAAAAAAATTTTCGCACATCGCGTCGCATTTTATTTAATGCTATTTTAATTTCGGAGTTTTATTAACAAGTTTAGTTCAAATTTTCTTTTCTTTTCGTTCGTATTTTATTTTATTTTAAATTTGTTTTTTTCTTTTTCCTTTTCGATTTCTTTAAAAAATTATTCAAAAAAATTTTTTAAGTTTAATATTTTGCCCCCGTCAAAATATGTTAATAATTTACATTTATATGTATTTGATAATATAAAATAAAATATAAAAAAAAAAAAAAAAAAAAAAATAATAATAATAATATGGACTTTTGAATTTTTGGGCACCGGTTAAAGTAAAGGTCTTAAAGGTCACATGGATTCATGGCATATACAATAGTTACGAGAAGTTTTGAATCGGGGTTTGCTTTTTTACCTCACCTCGACAAAAACGCGTCATTCATAATCAAGGATTTATAATATCTTTATTTATTTTTGTTAATTCATAACGCATTGTGATGATAAAAATTTTGCGGGATACGAAAAAAAGTTTTATGATTCCCAATAATACTTCAACATTGCTGATTATGATAAGAATAGATTTTCGGATCTTCATATTTGACACAAAAAAAAAAAACCGTATAAACAGAGCATTACTAATTTTGGAAAGCACCAGATCCTTGGCTTAGCTAGTCCATGATTATATACTCGAGTTCGGGAGGACTGTGTTTTAAAATCAAAGTACCTAATCGGAATTTACAAATTAGGAATTTTCCATAAATAGAATATATGGTATTAGTCCCAATTTGATCTTTTTCAATTTATGAGCTGTGTATGTTATGTTTATTATGTAAATTTTAGGGAGGTTTTCGAACCTTCGAAAATATATTTGAAACGTAGATTATAACATAATCCTCATATGATATGATATTTCAATTTATTAGAGATATTACAATGTAGGTATCTTGAAGGTAGATGGTAACTCTTTGTGGCGTACAAAGATGATAAATATGATTGATTGTAACGATGAAAAGAGTTTTAATTGGTATGAAAAAAAAATAAGGTTTTACTTAAAATATCGAACTTCAAGATTTCATGTTCGAATATGCCATCCCATTTTCGAACCGGTTGTTATTATTATTATGTCGTGATAAAAATCTTTTTGTACTGTTAAAGAAAACAAAAAAAAAAAAAAAAAAATGAATAATAATAATAATAATATTATTATTATTATTATCTTATTATTAATTATAATCATTATTATTATATGAAAAGGCAAAGTACATGTAGGGGGGCGCTTTGCGGTAGTAAATCTGGATTTGATTTCAGCCCGGAGAATATAATTGGCATATAAAAATAAATTTGAATTTTTCCGGCAGTTTTTTTCCCTTTTTACTGCAAAATCAGCAACAACAACAAAAAAAAGGTACCATCAAAAATTAACTCGGTCCGATCTTCATTGGTGTTTTTTTCCGTTTTTTTTTTTTTTTTTTTTTTTTTGTCGACGATGATGATCAATCATTTTCGAATATCTTCGTGTCGTGTAACCGCATCAATAAAAGAAATACATCTAGTAAAATGTACTTTAAAATAAATATAAAAAATTCCGGGAGGCAATCCTTTTGCCAAATCGATTATTTCTCCCCCATTTTTTTTTTTCTTTAAAAAAAAAAGTAAGGATTAAAGGTCATACAAAACTTTATTACCTGGTAATAAATATATTTTAATTGATCTAATTTTTAGCATGTGGATGACACTGCATAAATTATTCTTAATTTTTCATGTCACCAAATAAATTTTGTAGCATGATCTATGCTTGGAAAAAAAATACTGAGAAGATTTATTTATAGATATTAAAAAAAAAATACTTTTTACTAATGTGGTCAGTTTTGAAACTAGAATCAGGACGAAAACATAAAACTTGGCATTATTTGGTAATTGGAAATTATTTATTACAGGTAATAATTAAATTGGATTAATTAATACTATGTTTCATCATTGTACAGGAAGAAATGAAAAGAAATTCATGATGGGTTGTGATGTGATAAATTCTTATTCCGAGCGCATTGATATTTATAACTTTGACCCGAATTCGTGTGAATTAAAGAATCTAGTGATCCATAATACATATAGTCATGTAGGTCTAATAATTTAACACATTACGTCACATGTCATTTATCTATCAAGTGATTTTAATTGCAAAGCGTCAATATTTTCACTAATTGATCGATCACAAAATGTTGGATATGATTACCATTATGATTGATCGATGATGGAAATACAGTATCAAATTATGGTTTTGCCCTATAAAAAAAAAATGTCCAGAAAATGTTATCGAAAATGTCCGAATGTCAAAATCGTCCGGAAAGTGTACTAAAACATGGTGAATTCCGGACATTATCTGGATACTACGGCAAATTCTAGACAAATTCCAGAATTTTTTTTATAGGGTTCACTTATATTTTTATATGCGACAGATCCTTTCCAGTGTAGATTGATTACAACCAAAATTTCCGATGAAAATATTGGCAGCATTTCTGAGCGAAAGGTTCTTTAGCCATGTTGATAATTAATTACTAGTGATAAGAAGCCGACGAGTTATAGGAATAAATGAAGATTATAAATTAAATAAAGTTATCATTGATCGATCAAATGCATTATTTTATTCAGCTTACTGAAATCTATTTCACGTGATCAATAAAGTCCTTTGCCAAAAATCGACCAATGAAATACCTGCGCGTTTATAATCCTCCCTCTATTAAAATGATATTTAAACAACGAACCTATAAAGTCTAAAAATGTCAAAAGGCTCATATCCAAATCTTTGTCTCTATAGTCTCTATAGACAAAATATTCCCGTGATAAATCATTTTGACTTTTGGGATGAAGCGAAATAATTCCCTCGTAACATAAGAATAAATTCCTACGATGATTCATGATTATACGATTGATATTATATAGTATAATCTTTGCTTTTTTATTTTTTGATTTTGACGAAAACTACACTATTCAATACTTAGATGAAATCAGGTTCTGAGAATTTTTGACTAGAATTAAGGTCTTAATCTAAAAACAACAAAAACCAAAATGCAATCAAAATCTCAGTTTTGTTAAAAAAAATTCCCAGAGCCTGATTTTCCTAGCCAACATTCCTCCTATACATTTAAAGTACAAAAATTTTAATTTTATTAAGTTTTAATAAGATGAATTATAAATAAATTAATTAGATGTTCATCTCACGGTTCCTAATTGGTCGTTTGAACCAAACCAATTAAAAATCCGTGACTTTTACTACTAAAGTTTTCAAAATAAGCGAAACCAGATTTAAAATCTTTCATAAAGATTTATTACTACTAAATTTGGTTTTAAATATTACTAAGATAACGCATTTGTAACAAAAATAAGAGAATAGTATAAAAATAAAATTTTATATTATTAAGATAATGCATTTGTATTGATAAAATTAATTAAGGAAACGTATCATAATTATTATTATTGTTGTAGTTGTTGTTGTATACATCTTTCCTAGATGATAACGACCTTGATGGAAAAAACCTAATGATTTTCCAAGAAATTAATAAATTGTGATTCCGAGGTTTGATTATTATGATCATTGGCGATTTCCGGGTCAAATTCTACATATACATCTTTGATAAATCGAATTGGATTATTATTAATGACTTGATATTATACGTTTTTTATTATTATAATGCTTTATACCTTTAACTGATGGACTTTTATCCGTTCCAAAATTCATCTTTGCAAAATCGTCCAATACCTCTTCGATAGTTGGCCTTTGCTTAGGTTCTTGTCTCCAACATCTTTTATAAATCAACTCATAATCTTTAGGAGTACCCGGGATCGTAGTCTCACGAGTTCCCTTGTTAATGGTAACAGCAAGTGGAATTATATTATTGTTTATAATATAATCGTCAAATGGAGGGTATCCACTAGAAACTTCCCACATCAATACGCCATAACTATAAATATCGGATGATTTAGTATATGGGAATTTCAGGTCCAAAATACGCTTTGGTTCCATATAAGGTATGCAACCAAATACGCCGTTATGAATGGTAGAATCTTGAATATTTTCATTCTTTGAAATGCCAAAATCCGTGATTTTAGCATTGTTTTCGTGAATGACTATGTTCTTGGAATGCTAAATTAAAATTTCAATCATTAATATATTGAAATTGAAAAAGTATATATATCATAAGAATGAAACTTACAAGGTCTCTGTGTAAAATATTTTCATTATGTAAATAATTTAATCCATCAGCAATTTGATACGTTAATTTTTTCTTATCGTCCCATGTTAATTGATTAAACTTCTTTTTGAGATAGGTTTGAAGGTCACCACCGTTGGCATATTGCATAACAAGAAGGTATTCCTTTGTAACTTGATCTATAATAACAGTTTAAAAATACTTCATATTCAATAATGAAAAAGATTTCCTTATTTAAGAGGCGAGTTAAAATTTTTTTTTTTTACATTACCTTGACTAATACCCAAGCAACGTACGATTCGTTCGCTATAATCAAGGCGCAAGTGGATTTGTAATTCATGGATAAAAGCTTCCAATACATCACCTCTAATTGCTTCTGTATTAGTCAACTTTTTATAAACGACATAGTTATTTGTTTTGGTCCAAATTGCTTTCATTATACATCCAAAATTTCCTGTATTAAGCGATTTCGGTTTCTTCAATTCTTTAAAGGATATGGAGTTAACTTTTCCAACCTTTAGGGCATTTTCAATCCATTTAGTTGCATTATATTTATGAATGTCTTCTTGAATGATACCGGATGTTATTTCTGATGGCATAAAAATATCGACACGATTTTTAGGTAATTTTAATTGATTAAGGGTTGAAACAACTTTTTGCATATCCGGACGTTGATTTGGTTCATGTTTCCAACATTCTAAATATATAATATAATATAAACACGTAAATCAATCTTCTTTTTTTTTTTTTAAAAAAAAAAAAATCGGTCGGTTAAATATATATCATTTACCTTGATACAAGTTACTATATTCAATGGGAGTACCGTCAATAACCTTTTCTCTTTTTCCATTTATTATTTCAAAGGCCAAACCTATATCATAATTGATGTCTTTGGCATAAAATGGTCTACGTCCGCTTGAAATTTGCCACAACAGAACTCCAACGCTAAATACGTCCGATTTTTTATTTAATTCGTAATTTTGATTTTTATTACTGAACCATTTTGGATCTATATAAGGTATTACGCCAAATATTTGCAACATATCACTCGGAGCTTCAGCGATTTTTCGTGATAATCCAAAATCTGACAATTTGATATTTTTCTGATGTACGAGTATATTATCGTCATGCTTTTATCGCATTTTTTTTTTTTTGTTTTTCCCATTAGATTTCGTTTAATTTCAAAACAAAAAAAAAAAAAATAAAGAAAACGACAAAAAAAAAAAATTCACCAGATCACGATGAATGATATCAAATTCGTGTAAACACAAGACGGCATTTGTCAATTGCAGTGCTAGGCGCAGCTTATCGTTCCATTGTAGTTCATCGAAATGATCATTTAAGTAGGTTTTTAGTGTACTACTATCAGCATATTGTAAAACTAACGAATATGTTTTCTCTGATTCTGAATAAAAATAAAAAATTTAATTATTATTTTTTTTAAAAAAAATAAAACTCATTTATTTCTATCATTCAGAAAATTAAGACTACGCGGATTTAACACTTTTTACTCAGTATCGTAGCTTTAAAGACAACGATAATGCATTTGTTGTTTGTGGGATTACGTTCCATCAGATAACTGTTGAATAACTTACCGGTTTCTATTTTGGTAATTCCGTAAAAACGTATAATACTTTCGTTAAAAAAAACAATTCGATGTAATTTTAACTGCGGGTAATATATAGAAAGCTTTAATGGAGGTTCAATTTTTTTTTTTTTTAATTAAAGATAGAAAATATTATGAAGATTTATATATACCTCCTTGGCAACTTCTTTAAGGGTTTTGCTATTGCTGTTGAAGGATTTCAAAGCGAAAAAAGTGCTAAAACCTTTCCAATTAGCACGCACGACGTTTCCAAACGAGCCTTTTCCAATCGGTTGTATATTTCTGAAGTCTGAATATTCAAAGTATCTTATGCCTTCTTTGGCAATTAAATCTTCCAGCCAACGATAACGACTTGCGTCTTTTGGTTTAGAATCTTTTGGCAATTTTGACTTGTGTTTTAATTTCATTGAAAATTTAATTTATGAGGAGTCTTTTTGGAGTTATGTGATAAAATATTTTTGGCGATTCTTCAGGTTATAAAAATAATCGAAATTGGTATTAGATCGGAGCCCATTCCGAAAATAACACTCTAAGCCATCAACATGCCCCCGGTTTATTATTCAAAAGCCAAAAATAGACACCTCTGGGTGCTTGTGAAATACCTGGCGGTTTAAGTTGGGAATGGGAATACAACCACTATACGTAAATTAATTTAGTACCGCACGAAATGTACGCGCTACACAGCAGATCATGAAACATAATTGTCGGTCAATAATGTCTTGTGAATTTAATTTGATTCGAAAATTGAATCCGAATATGCTTTAATTTGAATCAACTTTTATTCTAATTTTTTCTAGTTTGAAAAAGGAAGGTTGAGTTCGTAATAATACTACTTATAAATACTTTTTTTTTTTTTTTTAAAAAAAAAAAAAAAGTATTTAATAATTTAAACGCATGCGTACAATACATGCTGTACTCACTGCAGTATCGTGTAATCACATTTGCTCCCCACGTTATTTCCATTTCGGCTATTGAGAGATTTTTTTTTTTTTTGATTAAAACCCGTTTTATCTATTATTGTAAATTGAGATGATTCTAGAAAGATGATCGATAAAAACTGATTGCATAAAACCGTGAAAAATAAAATTAGGTCCAATAGTATTAATTGAAGGTGATTAACAATTTTTTTCATTATTCCTTGTCATACTCCAATTAAAACCCAAACTTAGATATTTGATAAATCCAGTTAAACCCTTGCTTAAACCCTGATTTTTGCCCAATTAAAATTTGTGCAGATAATAATTCTTATTTAAATAACGTTTCTTATCAAAATTCCTAGAATTATAAAAACTTTCATTTGTAACGCAAGCCTGTGAACCACGTGATTTAAATTCTTGAACCCTCTTTACTTAAAATTGATAGATTTAAAATCAGCCACATGTTTTCGTGTATTATTTATCTTGGTGATGATGAACTGGTATTGGTTGAAATATATTTGTCATCGATTTTGAAATCCCTATTCTTGGGTTGGTTAGAGTTAGTTTAACCACCAGAGATCGATGAGTTATATTATCCACCGTTAATTAATTGTACTGATATTACAATTATGATATGGGAAGATTGCTAGGAAAATCAGGTTCTGAGAATTTTTTAACAAAAATTTAATTTTTATTGCACTTTAGTTTTGGATGTTATTAGATTAAAATGTTTAAAGGTCTTAATTTTAGCCAAAAAATTTCTCAGAACCTATCTATAAATATATTTATAAAATATAATTTTGAATATTAAAATATATATACTGTATATAAAAAAATGTATATAATTTATTATTTATATTATTTTAAAATTTATTAATTTTTTCTTTAAATTATTACAATCTAAATATTCATATTATATAACTTTTAATAATATAGAATCTATTTATTAATATTATCTAATATTATATTTTGTTTAGTTACTTCCTATCCATTATATTTATTAATAAAAATATATATATATATTATAATAATAATATTTTACAAATGCATATAATAAAAATTCAGATTTTTGTATAAAGTGTAAAAATAAATTAAAAATCCAATTAAAACTTACTTTATTATGCTTATTTCATTGTATTTACAAGTTTATAATTTTTTATATTTATATATTTTATATACCTTATAATCAATTAATTTTAAATTATTAATTTTATAAATTAATATAATCATTATTAAAAAAAAAATGTATCTAAAAATGCTACTGTATAAAAAAAGTTTTTATTATTAAAAAAATATATATAATTGTTTGATTTATAAAATAATAAGAGATTTATAATTAAAATTAAATATTTTATAATAAATTATATTAATTTAAAAATTAATAATCAATAAAATAAATTGTAATATTAAAATAATATATATTTTATTAAGTAAATAAAAATTAAAAAGTAATAAATATGATTTAGTTAATCAATTATTTATTTTATATATATATTCTAATCTTAATAAATATATTTAAGATTATAAATTTAAAATACATATAAAAATACAGAAAAGTAATTAAACTAAAATATTTATAAAATAAGATTGAATAGACAGTTGACTTTCTATATAGTCATATTTAAAGTTACTTATCTAAATCTATTTTAAATTTAATAAAATGTTTAACCTTTAATTTCATAAATTTTTTACTAAGATTTTAATGTAGTATTATTATTTTTATAAATTTTAATATAGTTATACATTTTTTTATTATTAACTTTAACTAATAAAAATATGTTTTTAAGAAAAAAATGATTATATAGAAGATGATTATATAATAGATCAATTATATACAAAAAAGTATTTCTAATAAGTCAAGTCAAGTTAAGTTTTGAATTAAAATTATCCTACATACTGTTACACCTAAAATTGATGTGCAAAAATGATCTACAAGGCTAAAAGGATGATCAAATTTCGTGTCATATTAAAAATGATTTGCAGTACTGTAA